TGAGCAAGTGTCGACTGTACTCTTTAAGTGACAAAACTTTCCTTGTTTATTCGAGAGGACAGTGGATGGAGTAGGAAAGCGGGGAGAGAGAATAGGGAGTGAAGTGCTGTAAGGGAGCGGAGAGTCGGACTTGAACCCTTGCCGCCCGCTTGGAGGACTTAATCGTCCATACATGTTTGGCCGTCAGCGTCCTGTGACTATTATTATTTTTGACGTGGTTATCAATGTTTCATTCTAAATGAGTCACTGCTCTCAAATTTGATGGTGGAGAATCTGAGGTTCAGACTTTTCTACTATAGTTCTTTTTTTAAACAATAATTATCAATGAATAAAAGTTGTGTGTCTATCCCCCAGCACACCTGCTTCAGTTTAAAAAGGGTCGAGAATTGAACGTTTGAGGACACCGAGTTCAGTCTGAACTGTTTGTATGCAGACAGAGAGAAAGCTTTAACCCCCCCCCCCGCAGGTTTCTCCCCCTGGGACTCCCTCCTGCCTGAATACAACCTGCCCTCCCTCGCACTATTGATGTGTCCACGACTTTACGCTGTGCTCTGACATTGGCCCCCGCTAATGGCTCAGTCTGTTCACTGGCCAGCAAGCCAGTCGAGGTAGCTGTTGTTTCGTGCCCGGCTCATAAATCTGTCGAAATAACACGTGCGGTTATTATAACACGAGATGAAACATTAAAATGGTTACAAAATTGAAGGCATTATAAAGTTTTATCGGCGCTCAAATTAAAGGTTTTCATGTGCAGTACTTATTAGTGGCCTTGCAGTTATATTGTTGTGATGTTTCATGTATATTACATTCGTGAGACCACTTTCCAAACGGCAGCTCTGTGGAGGTCACGACACAGCCAAGGTTTGTAGCTCGGCTGTGCAGTGATGGAGACTTTACAGAGTAGTAAATCTACATGGGCCGTCCAGTGCAAAGGTGTGGGAGAGAAAGGGCATTCTCACCAGTGAAAGTCAAGTAAGAGAGAGAGGTTTCATTCCCAGACTCTGCTCTGTCTGGCTCAGGTCCAGGGCTCCAGTATCTGCCAAGTGCAGACCACGCTGACCTAGACGTGGTTGATCTGGTTGAAGATTTACTCTGAGAATGTATTTTTATTATTACAAGCTTTGATTGACTCATTGCGTCTCTCTGTGAGCTTGTCTTACTGTTTCTTAAGACAGCTAAACGTGCATTAGCTTCTCTTCCAGCATAATGTTAAGCAGCTTCACCAAAACCATAGAAGTGAGCAGTTTTCCATTTTTAAGACATTGAATTAGAATTAAACCACTGCTATTGGGGTGCTCAGGGCAATGTTTTTCTCGTTTTTTTTTGTTGTTGATTATTTTAATAAAATATACCAATCTTCAATAAGTGGGAACATTTATGTCACACACACACACACTCAAATTAATCCTTAAAAATGTTTTGGATAAAGTCAGGAATTTCATTTGCTGTTGAAGACCATCTCAGATGATCAAGCATCTACCAAATACTAAGATGTGCAAAGACGTAATTATCTGTATCTGATTAACCCAAAAAATATCTGTATCTGTATTAGCATACAAGCTTGCTGTGTAGAAAGAACATGAAGTCAGGGGAAAATGTTTGTGTCCAAGGTCGAAATTTCAGCATTTAAGCAAAAGTCTAAACACATTTCTGAAAGTGCTGAGAAAAGTATGAATATCTGAACTTCTACAAATCCGTGAAGACTAGGCAGACTCCTTGCATGAACTGAGTTCACTGCATGTAAACAAAAGTTCAGAAACATGTACTAACTGGTCATAGTGGGGCGACTGTTCTCTCAGTGACAGGATACTGTTTTTCATGGAGCAACCTATTTAAAGCTAACTGTCTTTTCCTTTTTAAACCCACAGCCACAGTTAAATAACATTGAAACTAGTTAAATAACACTGAGTTAACATCGGAGAGTTGGGGTGTGAAACAGGCCTCTATAATACAAAGATCCCCCCCCCCCCCACATGTTGTGTTTAGCAGTCGAGTGTAGAAAGTGTGTACAGGGCTTTGATTGAAGCCTGTTTAAATGACACCTCTTGTTTGGTGCGTCAGTAATCCCCCCGCTGCATGTTTGTCACAGGTCAGGCTCGATATGAATAATGTATGAGGAGACATCTGACTGAGAGGCTGGTTAAAGGTGGCGCTCTCTCTAATGACAGCAAACAAGCTCTCTCCCTGACATTTCCTCTGAAAGGAGGGGCGGAGAGAAAGGTGCTGAGAAGGAGCTAATGACACTCAAAGATGGAGCGAAGTGGATCCATGCAGTCCTTTAAATGCAAAGTACTCGCTCAGTTTGTTTTTGAAGCAGAGTGTGATGAAATATGACAAGGTGTCGTTGTCTTTATTGTATTTGGACAGACACAGCAGCTGCAGGCTGAATACGACTGTCTGCTATTGGATTTGATAGTTTAAAGCATTGTCCTGAATAAAATAATGAATCATTTAGAGATTGAGTTCCTTCTATTATTTATCAGTGTACAAATCAACTCTCAGGGCATTTTCATCTGAATAACTTTGCCGTAGAAAGATACTTAAAATAATAATTATAGTAATGATGAGCACACAATTGAACAGTTTGAGCAAATAAAACAATGAATCATATTTTCAAGAGCAGAATCACAAACACTACAGTTGATCATTGTCTAACCTGACATTGCTACAAGGTTAGCCTTTCAGAGGAAGTGCTTTACTTCTGATTCTTTCTTATTGTTGTTGATATGGGGATCTGGCTTTTTCTAATGCCGGAACAAAATTGCATTTGCAAGGAGCACATGACAGTATATCGCCATATTGTTTTTTGAGCATAGCCCGAGTACAACTGCACGTATAACAACGTGGAAAACTTTGAACCATTCAAAGTGTTTTTATTTTCGTCCTAAACCATTGTTGTTTAATGTGCTTTGACATCTTATCCGGTAGAATTGAATCTTCGCCTGTGTTGTCCCATTTGAATCCACAGAAAAAGGAGTCGATCGTTATCACCAAAGGAGCATAACTTCCAGTCTGCAACTTACACTTGATCTGATTAAGGCTGCAGCATTTTGCCCTTGGGCGATGTCTGTAGCCTCGCATGGAGGAGAGATAACCCGATCTCCGCTCCTCTCTGGCTCGGAGTCCAATTTAGCAGCTCAAAACTATGAATAAATCTAACACTCTATAATTGAATTCTTCAAACAGGCCACAATTTCAAGGTGAGGCCTGAATGCAAATCCATTTTCTGGCCTTAACAAAGAAAAGTCATTTTCATCGGGATAGAAAAGTCGAAGAACAATTTTTCAACGGAAAGAACAATAGACTGTCTTTTTTTAGTTTGATTCATGCTCTTTTAGAGTGTTACATAAATGCCACAATGGTTATTGTACCTAAATAAATGACTCGTTTAGTGTCTCGTCCTTTTCCTTTCTCCTTTTATTGTAAGAGTCCTTTTCTTGTCCGGCCTCAAAATACAGAGAAGAGAATCAAGGATGTAATTACAGCTCACAGCTACATCCTCTTTAACTACATGTCTGCCAAAATAAAGCTCATATCTATACTTGTCCTATTCTGCCTCTAAGAGATGCCCAGAATGATAAATTCCATTAATTGTTTAGAGGGTTAGTTAGTATTTATTCGGCATGGTTTGCCTAATTATTTCTCCCGACATGTTTTGTCTTGTGCATAATTCTGCGCTCCTCAGGGACGGTGTAGCGAGTGGGTGTGCAGAGAGAGCCGGCTAATGGGATGGAGATGGCACTGAATACCAATGCTCTGACCAGCCAGTCCTTGCAGACACCAGACACTGTGTTTGTGTTTGTTGTTGGTGTGTGTGTGTGTGTGTGTGTGTGTGTGTGTGTGTGTGTGTGTGTGTGTGTGTGTGTGTACTTGCGTGTGTGTGTGTTTGCTGTTCTCACTGCTCTGTCCCCACTCACATCCCGTCTGGATCGAAACCCTGCCCTTCCTGTGCTAAAATAAACCCACCTTGGGAAGTGGAGGACCTTGTACAGAGAGCTGAGTGTTACACCTTTTGACTCGTATAGTGCTGCATGCATACAGTCTGTGACTTTGTGCAGAACACTTAAGAAAACAATAATATGTTTTCAATAATTGTTCGGTTAGCTTGTGGTTTGTATACATCTACATATAGAACAATAACCACACATCTCTCCTTTGAGGTACAAAGAATAATGAAGTGGTGTTAAACTACATTAAGTCTTAGGCATGAACATTGGTCCCAAAACATACAAACATAAGGCTACATAATAGCTAGCCTATTTCTGGAGGTCAATTTGCATGTATAGAAGAAGTAGCTTAATTTCAAAAGAAAGAACTTGGGTTGCTTTTGTCAACTTTTTTTTCCATTAATTTTTTTTTTTTTTTTTGCCTATTAATTGAAAATAAAGGAAAATAACATGGCTACATGTTCCAAGAGACAACATAATTTGTAAATCAATGCTTAATCCAAAGGCAACTAGAGTTAATTGAAGATCTTGAAGTTGTTTCCCTTCTCCTCAAGAAGGCTTCTTCAGTTCTAAACTAACTGGTGGACAGAGCTAGACATTTACGCTGTCTTTAATCAGGTCAAGGTCAAGGATGGTCTGTGGGTCGTTAGGGTCGCATGTTACAAGGTCGGACTGGGGCCTCTGTTGGGAACTTGTGACCTCAGTGTTGACTCACGACTCAGCGAGCTAACCCCTCTGATGTGAGTCACCTTTGCCCACTAGCATGCTAATGATCCACAGAGGCTGACATTTCTAGCTCCCTCAACCAGTCACAACCAGAACTGAAGAAGCCTTTCGGAGGAGAGAGAGGACCATTTCCATGTTGGCTGAGAACATACACAGAAACGTAATTTGTAGTCCTGAAGAGTTTGAAAAGCTTCTTTCTAAATAAGCCCCTATATGCAAATTCACACAACAAGGAAGAACGTTAAGAAATATTTAAATAATTGTACTTCTATGTAATAATAAAGTCATTCATATCTAAACAGTTTCTTCTCTTCCGTCCCTCTCTAGCTCATAGTGGAGAAGACCACAGACTTCCCCTCTGCTGAGTTCTCTCTGGTGGAGGATGTGGCTCTGCACTTCACCTGTTTGATGGACAGGCTGAACGAGCAGCGCCTCTTCCAGCCTGACCTGTGCGACGTTGACATCGTTCTGGTGCGTCAACACAGCACCTTCCCCGCCCACAAGGGAGTGCTGGCGGCCTACAGCCCATTCTTCCACTCCCTTTTCGCCCAGAGCAAACAGCTGCGTCAGGTGGACCTGTCGCTGGACGCTCTGACCTCTCAGGGCCTGCAGCAAATCCTCAACTTCATCTACACCTCCAAACTGCTGGTGAGCAGCCGCACTGTCCGTGACGTCCTCAACGCAGCAACCCTTCTTCAGATGAGCGACATAGCGGCCTCCTGTCGTGACCTTATCAGCAGCCACTCGCTGAGGACCACCTGTGCCGATATGGCCAATCAGGAGGGGCTCAGCGGCAGTGACCCAGCGTTGCCCCCCAGCCAGCTGTACTCGGAGATCAAACAGGAGTCGGAGCTGGGGAGGGTGTACAAGAGGGATGGCAGCAGCCCGTTCTCTGTGAGGGTGGAGGAGGCAGGGAAGTCGACCTCCCAGCAGAAGCAGTATTACCAGAAGGAGGACGGGTCAGGGGGCGGGGCTAACGCCGGCATGGCTTCTTTGTGCAAAGTAGAGAGCAACGGAGAGGAGTCAAAGACGGCAGATAGCCACGCCTCCTTCAACAGAGACCAAATCATCGTTGAAGTCAACTTAAACAACCAGACCCTCAATGTGTCAAAGGGGTCAGAGGGAAAGTCGTTGACCGCAACAGAGACGGCCACCATCTTTGGTCATTGCCATGACAACGCGCCAGACTCAGAGGACGACGAGGAGAACGAGGCGGAGAATGAAGACACAGTTGAAGAAGAGGATGACGATGACCTGAAGAGGAGGGACCTACTTGGGCAGAGTAGCGAGGAGGATGACGAGGAGGAAGATGAGGAAGAGGAGGAGAACACTTTAAACATTCCAGGGTTGGAGCAGGCGGCCTTGTTGGATCGACCTCGCAGGGGCACCAGAGCCTTTGCCGTGGCGGGCACAACTGCGTCCATGCGACAGACGCTCACAGAGGCCACGCTGGCCAACCAGCGGCAGGGCGGGAAGAGGACGCTGGACGCGGAGGGGCTGAGTCAGAAAGTGAGGCTGGAGGAGAAGCAACACTTCCCGTGTAAGAAATGCCCCCGCGTGTTTAACAACCGCTGGTACCTGGAGAAACACATGAACGTCACACACAACCGCATGCAGATCTGCAATAACTGCGGGAAGCGCTTCCTGCTGGAGAGCGAGCTGCTTCTGCACCAACAGACTGACTGTGAGAAGAGCATCCAGGTATGACTGACCACAAACAACTATCCCTTACTCACGTCCTAGTTCTAAAGTTCTGTTCCTCCCATCACTTTTAGAGAGGGTACTTCAACAGAAAAATGAAGTTAAAGATTATTCAATGTGATGATGGTGAGCCTATAAATCAGAGCTAATATTGTAGGTTTGCTTCAACTGATGGACTTGTTGACCAATGCAGGCATGTCAGGGCTGATCTTCATCATGAACTAGAGAAGCTGCTGTGGTCAATTATCTGTCTAAATCCCTCCTGTCAGAGTATAACTGCTTTAAAAAAAAAAAAAAACGGATTTGTTTGCACACCCCTGTTTACCTTTTGAATAAATGTTTCAGCTGAGCAATGCAGCAACGCAAGTGTGAGCAGAAATATTTTGCGACCTTCGTAATGTAGTGATCACTGGATCACTCGCTACATCACAGCAACAGATTCTGCACATGGGTGACTTGTTGCTCTGCGTATTTTTTTTCTGTTATCATGTCCCACGTGAGGAGCAGTGTATGTTTTTGGGCCTCTTGACAGCCCTCACTGTACCCCTCAGTCTACGATGAGTTTGACCTAATCCTACATATTGATGAAGCTAATAAGAGCTGGATGTAGCCTGACGAAATGCTCTGCAGAGACTCATTTGGGTGGGGAAACAAATCATTACACCATTATTCTTGATGTTTTAGAAGAAAAAACATTATATTTGAGCTTCAGTTAGGAGGTGGCAGCATGTATTTAAAACATTTTCTCACAAAACATCCTTAAATTACACCTCAAACCAAGCTGAGGCAAACCAGGTAAACCATGGATCCTACTTTAAACACAAACTGATGCCTCTTTTTGGCTTATATTTTTAATGTATGAACAGTATTTAGAATGTTTTTTTTGTTTTTTTTAAACTGAGTCGGTTAGTCAGTGAACTGGTAGTTATTCATAATCAATTCTGATCTCTATCTCTGTTCCTCCTCTATTGCCCACTCTGTATTGAGCAGCTGGACTCCTGCTGTGGTTTTGAAGATCATTTGCCGCTTTAATCTTCTGGCTCTAATTGCTTTTTGCTACAGTGCACGCTCAAGTATCTGTATAAGCACACACACCTGGATTGTATTTGCAAAGGCCGGTCTTGATAATGATCTCCTTAATGTGTCATACCCAAATAACTCCAGTAATAACTTTGTTTTTCTCCCCCTAAAGTGTGTAACATGTGGTAAGGCCTTTAAAAAACTGTGGTCCTTACACGAGCACAACAAGATTGTCCATGGCTACGCCGAGAAGAAGTTCTCCTGCGAGATCTGTGAGAAGAAGTTTTACACCATGGCTCATGTCAGGAAGCACATGGTCGGTGAGTGGCAGTGAAATGGAAGATTCTGGTTGGTCGCTTTGTTCCCGTTTGTTAATTTAAGCTTCCTGTCCTACATCCTTTTGATTGTTGAGGGGGGGGATTTGTTTTGGGTGTTTCTTTCCTCTTCCATGTTTTGGCAGATAAACATCTTTTTACCCAGACTTACTTTTGTCATACTTTTGTGTTTCAGCTCTTAAGGAAGTAGTGTAAAAGACGGCGTATATCTGACCAATGGTGTAACTTCAGATTAACTATCATATTTACCACAATCAAAGCATTCATGGTCCTTAGCATTGAAATGAACCAATAAAAACATTGCATCCACTGATGTTCTTATGTGCTTGTAAAGTAAAGGGCAACAGTTTGCTTACTTGTCCTCCTGTTGCCATTTGATCAAGAGTGACTCAATACTGTGTAACATTTTGTTAATGTGTGTGTTTAGCCCACACGAAGGACATGCCATTCACCTGCGAGACGTGTGGGAAGTCGTTCAAGCGCAGCATGTCCCTGAAGGTTCACTCTCTGCAGCACTCCGGAGAGAAACCCTTCAAGTGTGAGGTTTGAGCTCCTTTTATTCACTACTATGACTCTCCACTTTCATGAAGGAGTTTCACTGGATCTGAGATTTCTACCAGTTTTGGAACTTTCTTGAGTCTTTCACACTCAAAGTTAATAGTCCCCGTACCTTTGCTATTATGACGGTAGCTTTTGGAAATATATGATATAAGACTGAAATATCTGGAATAGTTGTTGGGAAATATGTTGAATTCTCTCCAAAACTAAGATTAGGAGATCGATACCATGTTCGTGTCTGTGGAGTAAATTAGAGAGTTCAGCCAGGAGAACTTCAGCAGCTACTCTCAGCCTGTCACAAAATAGAAAAAAAAGTACTGAGTCAAGTGATCTGCTTCTGGCCTTAGCTTGATATTTACATAGACATGTCACATTGGTATTAACTTTCTCATCTGTGCAAATAGTATAATTCCCAATATGTCAACCTTTTCTGTAAAGCAGACTTTGAAATGTCCTTTCGTTTCCAACTTTAGTTTGACCTCATAACATTAGACATGTTCTTGTTTTCCAGGCTGCCTGCTAAACTCAACAGGTGTCATGCCATAAAACTGTTTATATTTCACGTTGAATACTTTTTATTGGTTTCATGATGGAAAACGGTCTCAATGTGTTTTACAGAAACACATTTTCTCACAGCTGAGTGGAATCAGATATGTTGTTAGATATATCAGCATGTCTGGCTTTTGTTCACTTTCTTTTTACTTTTCTGCAAACATGTGGATTTAAAAACACTGAGTTTTTATTTTTGTGTCACTACCAGTCATGATCAATTTTTTTGTTTGTGAAAATGTTGCCTGCTTGCCATTTCAGAACTGCAGTGAGCGCTTCCAGTACAAATACCAGCTGCGGTCCCACATGAGCATTCACATCGGACACAAGCAGTTCATGTGTCAGTGGTGCGGAAAGGACTTCAACATGAAACAGTACTTTGACGAACACATGAAGACACACACTGGTGAGTGAGGACTTGAATCAGTCTGAGGTTTCTTCAAGCGTGTTAAAGCTGGATCACAGAACTGTTTTTTTTAAACTACCATGAACAGATTTTTTAACTTAAGTTGTGTGTGTGAAAAAAGCCTTACAAATATAAATATAAGTTCAAACTAAAGTCCTCACAGTGTCACTGACCAGACGTAGCGAGCCCTGAGGTCTTTCAAATGTGTTTGAGAACATTATTTAGTCTTCTTTTTCCTGTCCAGTTGCCAATTGTGCAACTAGTGGTTAAAAAGCCCAACGGTTACCTTACGTTGATGCCTGCTGGTTAGAAAAAAACATTAGACACTATACTAGACATGTAGCAACATTAGAATCTAGTTTGAGTTAAACAGCTGATAAAATCATAATTGTGTACTTGTAGCTCAGTTTTGGTCCCCACCAGCTCCTGAAGGAAATGTCGTGCTCTTATGCTCCTGACGGGCCACAGTATGTTAGTTACTAACTAACTTTATTCTGTCGACATTTAGGGCAGGGCAGGTTGTGTGGAGTGAGTTTTAAGTTGGCTAAAAGTGATCCTACATATGTGTTTAGACTTAATTGAAACGTCAAAAAACAATTATCTACAAGATTATCAAAAAGCTCCTTGGATCTTGGATGATCATGTACAGCATGTGGCTTGATACTCTGGGTGACCCATTTCGCATTGCACTCTTTCTTATAAGATTAATATATATAGTATATAAATGTATGCTGATTTTTAATTTTGAATGTAGACAATGTATGCAGAAGTTGTAATTTGTCCCTCCCTGTGCAGGAGAGAAGCCGTACATCTGTGAGATCTGTGGGAAGAGCTTCACCAGTCGGCCCAACATGAAGCGCCACCGCCGAACCCACACCGGAGAGAAGCCGTACCCCTGCGAGGTGTGCGGCCAGCGCTTCCGCTTCTCCAACATGCTCAAAGCCCACAGGGAGAAATGCTTCCGTGTCAGCAACCCCATGGTTACAGACATCAACAACCCCCTCAGTCTTGACCATCCTTTGGGCCTGCCTGCTGTGGACTCCTCCGGTCAGGTGCAGCATGGGACAGCGCTCCCTGCTACATCTGTGACCACACCCGCTGCTGCCTCTAGCCCACACCCTCTTCACCCCTTGCTGCACTCCATGGGAGGGCTGCCACCAACCCCTCATTTACCCCCACCGCCTCCTCTGTTCTCTGCCGGTAGGATGAACTCCAACAACTAACAGATCTCTGTAGCATCTAAAGCACTTTTGTTACATTTATATTATTTTTCTTAGAGCTTTTACGAGGACTCCTGCAGCAGGAGACTGATGCTCCTCAGTGACATTTACACTGAGGGGAAACACTGACTGAAGGCTACATGGAGGCCTCATAACAACCAACCTACACCTTCCACATTATGAAAGAGTTATTTTTTACTCTGTTAAATACAATAGATAACCTCAGAGTCCAGTAGGACATGTCGTCACCACGCTTTTCATCATGAATTTCACAACTCTGTTCTGGTTTTATTATTTCACAACCGCCACACACATCTCTCCAGAGCCTTGCACAATGCGTTGATTGTAGCATCTTTTGCAAATTGGGAGGAAGAGTTTCCTAAAGTCAGTGGTCATCAGAAGTAATGAGACCACAATATGATGAGAAAAAAATGTTTTATTTGGATCATTCTCTGCCAAGTTGTAGCAAGTGGATCTGGTATGACCCAGCAATAACCAAATGCTGATTTGTCTTTGAGCGTATACATGTATATGGCAATGCCAATAACCAAATCCTGTAAGCTCACGTAGTTAGTTAATGTTAAACAGCATTTATAATCGATCCTGCACCTTACATTTAACTCTAGTGATATTTACTCCTATTTGTCTTCATTTTTATAACCGTGATAGTATGTAATTCGTGGCACGTTATGTCAATTTGTAAGGACGTAGGAGAAGCTGAGACCTCTGGAGAGTCAGCTGTGCAATTCTGTTTGTGTTGTTTGTGTCCGTCTGTGTGTGTGTGTGTGTGTGTGTGTGAGTGTGTGTGCGTTTGAAATGTGAAGCTGAGATGGTAAAAGAGGATCTTTATATCTATGTGCAGCCAATAGAATTTGAGCTTCCCGAGTCAGGAAATTGAATAATTTGTTGACCCTCTTCTTTTGCTTACATTAAGCAAGTGTGCTCCATTCCTGTAGATCTGGCTTTGAGAAAATCTCACACTTTTCTGTGACTAATGTACTCAAACCTTAATTTAATGTACTCAAACCCATAGGTTATAGAGCTACTCTTAATATTAACCAATGGCTCATTTCCCAACTAAGCCTGCTCTGTGTAATCAGTTTGCAGGATAAAAAAAGCAACAGGTGACTATATTAATGGAATACTTGCTAACTTAGTTCATTAAATGTGTACATTTCATCATAATGTATATTGTGTAATGATAAAGATTTATATTCCAATCTCTTCAAGAGCACTGACAGTGATTTTTTTTGGCACAAAGAGTGAATCAGTAAAAGGGCTCTTCACTATTATAAACCAGACAATTTCTTATTGAAGTGATCTATAAGCTGATCAATGTTAGAGCGCTGCAGTTTTTTATACTGCTTTGAGTTGGGTGTCTCGGCATGCACTTTTGACACTTGTTGTCATGAACTTTCTGAAAAAAAAAAAAGATGATTTATTGAAACATTTGTCTAAAAAGTTCTTACCTTAAAGGAAAGATTTTACATTTTGGGAAAAACATTCATTTAATTTCTTGGTGAAATAGGCTACCAGTCCCGTGTGTAAAAGCAGAACTAGCTAACCAGTAGTTAGCCAAGCACTAAGACTGAAAACAAAAGGAAACAGATATAGCCTGGCCTAGTCTGTAGGTCCAAACAGTTTTTGTAAACTATTTTAAGTGTACTTGTACAATAAGAAAAGTTGAAAAAATTTCAATAAACACTTTTTGTTTTTTTATTTAGTTTAACAAAACGCTGTCAATGAGACGGCTAGCAAAGGTCATGATATAGGCTACATCCAATTGAAAGAAAGCCAGACTTTGAATTTGTTTTCATCTTTAAACTATTTGTGTACATATCAAACTAACATAAATTAAATTCACAAGGTTTAAAGATGTAGGTAGACAGAAGATGTAGGTAGACAGATTTTGTAGGATGAATCCAGGCTAACCGTTGCCTACTGTTTACAGTATTTACGCTTAGCTAGGTCAACTGGCTGCTAGCTCAAGCTTTATACCAAATTCACGACTAAGGTATCAGTTTTCTCATGTAACTCTCTGCAATAATAGAGGGTGGAAGAAAATCCAAAATATCAGAGTAATACTTAAAATTCTTAGTTTGAATCAGTTACTAATCCAAAAATATTCGCTGTGCACTATTGATGCACTCTTGCTCACTTTACCTAGAGATAGCAAACTTTAAGTGTAGCGTTCACCTGTAAATATAGTTAAGGTGTGTTTCTTCCTCGTTATCAAATCCTCATGTTTACATTTGGAGAGTCAGTTGAATGTTGCCCCCATATGTGTCTTGGCTGGTACTACAGAAAGTTGGAATTTGCAGTTAAGCTTTTTTAAATGTAATAATCTGTTCATTGTTTTATTTAAACGACACATTTAAGCACCTTTAGTGTATTCTTATGTTGAAGTTCACCCAATTTATGTATTTCAGAAACTAAATGGTGAGGGCCACATTAGATGTGATTTGATATTGGTACTATTTTCTTTTTTCTTCGTGTGTCTAACACATGTTTTGTATTTTTATCGTTCTCATTTTGTACAGGGTCCAGTTTGAAACTGCCCTTTAAATGAAAAGTCTAGACCAGTGAAATTGTTCACTATATTCTGGCCTTTACTAATCAAATTTACTGCTTAATTGGAGGTAACCTCCAGCATCAGTAACGAACTACAATTTAGAAATTTTAGGCAGTCTGATGAGGTATGATCTGGTCTTTAGATGTGACCTCTGATTGTTGAGAGAGAGAGGACTAAAGGCTTCCTGTCAATGTCACAAAACACAAGACTGTTGCTCTCTTGTGGCACCTTGGTAAACTGCACTATCTAAGAGGTCTAATGCTAAATAAAGCCTTGTAACACATAATCATTTATGAGGCTAAATTTAAATGCATTATATGTATTCTCCCAGAAAGGCCTACTGTTAAGAGAAGCACTTGCCCAAGAGACAAAACTGAGATACTGTGGTTATAGTTTGTGTGTTTGCCTTACAGGTGGAGGGAATTGAATGTTTTAAGTTCGGGATGATGGTAATGGAGGAGATAGTAGTCAATACTACTGACTTATGCACTTTGAATTTGATTGCCTCACTTTAGCCCATAATAGGGAACATGAAAACAGAAAAAAGGTTTAAAATTTCCAGAAAAATTCAAAACATAAAGCATACATTTGATGGTTGAAATGTATGCTCATATTTGATGAGCAGTTAATGTATTAATGTTGTTTGTTCAAGTTTGATCAGACAGGCTGAGTGAGGGCTGACCTGTGTTTTTGTTTCTTAGTATAATTTAAGGTGATGTTTGGCGATGCACCTAAACTGCTATTCTATGTTCTGGTCCGCCTTCTTGCACTGTGCAAACAAGTATTTGTGTCACTTTCAGATCTGTTTCTTTTCTGATCACTATTAAAGAAACTAGTTCAGGTCATGAAAGGGTCCAAATATGTGACTGTTGTATATCATGCCAAGAGAAAATTATTTGCCAAACTGAGGGGAAAAAAAGGATATTGATAACCGTAAGCACTTTATACTCCAGTTCAGTGACCACAGTTTGAAGGCAGTTGTTTTGAATCTGCTGACAACATGTTGGCAGGAGTTCAGCCCTTTTAGACACTTTTTTGTTTAAAGAAAACTCTGTTGTTCAGACCCCACTGCTTGGAATCAGTGAAATGAACTTTAGAATCTGTTATTTATGGGTTTCCAAACTAGTGCAGTAATTAATTGCAGTAAGAATAGACCAAAATGCACATTTTCATCATTTGAGTGGGAAAATGAAAGAGCTGAGCAATTTTTAAATGACAACATTTCTCAAAATAATCTTCAAATTGTTAAAAAGTGAAGTATAAAGTTTTTAATGAAATGTTATCACATTAGACGGCAGTAAAGCTAGGATTTTAGAAACCAGGAAGGGAATTTTTGCACAGTTTTTGGAGCTTCCATTGGAGGCAAGTGTTTCTTTATGTCTTTTAATCAGCCAAATTGTCCTTTCCAAGGCTAGCGGCCAAAGGCTTGGGTTAGATTAGGCAAAGGTGGACCTGCCCTTGTCCTTAGAAGAGAGTTTGCCAGTGATTTAAGTGAATGCCAAGGCACCACAGTGACTGTGCTTCTGCATTGCACCCAAGGCAAATGTTTGCCACATAATGAAGCATTAAGCATGACAGTTGGTACAAAGCAGGGGGCTCTTGGGATTGCCAAGTTGGGGCTCTATTGGGAATTGTAGTTTGGGGTTTTGCTGCATGAGCCGAAGAGTGAATCCAAAAGGATTTGATTGTTTGGCCTTCAGCTTCAACAAAAGTGTTGGGAATATTGTGATGTTAGGACGTACTTAATACGGAAGTTTCATGACAATATTGGAGAGAAAGCTTTGTATGTCGGTTGTATGTTATAAGAAGTTATAGAAGTGTGTTGCCCTTTTGATGATGACAATGCCCCCCTTTTTTTAGAATGAATGTTTTTTTTAAATCGTTGTTTTAGTCCAACACTTCTTTGGGTGCAAATTTATAGAGCTACAGAATCACTAAATGGTCATCAAAAGAGTCAAAAATGTAACTGTACAAATTGACTCAACTTTCATCTGATTGGTTGTTAATAAAATTACACATGTATTGATATGTTCAGATGTGTTTTTGACTCTTTTGATTATGTGTTTTGTACGCTTCTGGCCTCTATACAACTGAAACTTAAAATTGAAAAACAGGCACTGTTGGTTTCAGGTTGGCTGTTCTATTCATTTGTTTGATTGTGACTTTTTTCTTTTATGGGCAGCGATATATGTTATGATATCCATAAGCACCAATGCCATTTTCTATTCAGAGCTGTATTATTCACATCCCCTACATCTCCCATACTTACTCATACTGCAGTTGTGTTAAAGAAATCATCATGTGTTTTGTCATTTGCTGATTCTCTACTTTATAATGTAAGCACTATGTCTTAGTTAACTCTGGTGTACAAAGACCATGTGTAGACAGTAGTTGTCAAGTTCAGCTGTATTAAAATATTTAAAACCGTACAAGGACATTAGTGTCTAGAGGTGCTAATAACATTAGTCTGTATTTTCTGTCTTTTATTGTATTATTGACTAGTGTTTACTGTCTGTAACACAACAGAGCGTAATGAAATCATTTCAATATTAAACAGTATAGATATATTATTGCAAATACAGATGTGTGTTGTTGTTTTTTATTAAATCATGCTCAAGCCATGCTCTACTGTGAATACTTTGCTGCCATCTGTTGGGAAATGCACACCTTTAACCTACACATTTTAAATCAAATCAAGACTGCATATTAAATACTTGAATTTTATTCCATACAGTGCAAAAAGTCAACAGGCTACAGATGAATTTATTCAACAATCTCAGTCAGAACAAAACCACTAAAACACATATAAAAGTCTCCAATTGAAAAAGATTGACCCCAATGTTTAACTAGAAGTACAATTAGATAATAAGAACTACTATAGAATGATATACAATCAAATAAAGTGATCATAGATGACTCCTCACATTCACTCGGTGACATTTTAATGTCACCATGACTCCTGGGAAGTACTGTTTCACAGGTTTTACAACTTGGTGAGACGCAAGGTGTTGAGGCGGACCCCTAGGATGGTGGACCCTGAAGCGTACTGGATCTCTCTGAGGATGCCGTTCCACTTCTTCTCTGTCTCATCATACCTGAGGAGGATTACAGACATAGTCATGGTACCTAGTATATGATTTTTATGTACATTCTTGAATAGAAATATACAAATTTGTTGGGTAAATTAACATAACAGAGCAAAACTTTAATATTGTTCCTGACTTGCTGAAGATGAGACTTATATGTGACAAAGGCTGACATATAGATAAATGCCCTACCAGGGCTAACAAATACTTGTAGTACAAATACCTGTAGCGCTATGGATTAAGTTAAATGTCTGATGTCTGTTGTTATGTCTCACCTCCAGATGTCATTCATCTCTTTGGGAACCATCTCCTCACTGTCCTCTAAAGGCATCATAGCAAACCCTCCTACAGCGTACAGCGCACCAGCCAGAGACACCAAATTTAAAGAGCTACGCTCCTGAGGGAACGCTCCAAAGTCTGACCATCTGACAAAGGGAAACACACACATACAGGTACATTTGAGTAAGTTACAATACAGAATATTTCTACATTTCATTTAGCAGTTCTTTTAATTCAAGAAAAAAAAGGAGCATGTTTCACAAATTGAACTTAGTTAAACCTTTTAAATAAAAATGTACCTTCCTTTTTGAATTAATTCCTCTATGGAGGCTATGAACATCAATTTCTTCCTTTTATTATTGTAAAATAAAATAATTGTTTTTTGCACAGTTATCCTTGGCTTTTGTATTTCCCCAACAACCAACTACCTTCAAATAAAGTGAACATAAGTGAAAGCACGGGTGGGAGCCAGTTCATGAATTCACTTTTTGTCAGTGTGAAACTTGATTTTGGGGAACTCACTTGTTGGTAGCGATGTCGTACACCTCCAAAGTATCCGTTAGCCCGGTGTCTGTGACTCCTGCTGCCACGTATATTTTGTCCTTGTGAACAGTGGCTCCAAATAAAGAACGTGCAATCTTCATGGGCGCGAGCTCTTTCCATTCAAACCTCAAAGCGTCATATGCGGAAATCTTCTTCAGACAATTCCTTTTAGAAACAGACAAAGAATGTCAAAGATCGGCCATTCACTTGTTGTCACTTGTATAACTTTCTTTCAAAGTAAATATTTCAGTTAACACAGATTGATAAAATATCCTGATTACACAGAATACTCACATGTCATCTCCTTTTCCTCCAATGACATAAATTACATCATTGTGGGATATTGTTTGGTGTCCATAGACTGAGTAAGGAATTGGCTCTGATTCACTCCATTTAAAAGATCTGTAAACAAGAAACAACCGGGAAAGTGTAACTTCACGTTAGCAGTCTGGTGAATTATTTCTCTAAATTCCTCCTCCACTCTTTAGATTTGTCACATTAACTAGTACTCACTGTCTGTCATATATCAAAACAGAGTCCAGCGTTTGCTCCTGCTCCTTCAGTTCCCTCCCACCCAACACAAAGATGGAGTTCATGGCCTCGGCCATACCAAACAGGAAGCGGGGAGACGGGATGGGAGGCATCCCCAGCCAATCAGCGCTAACGGGGTCATACTGGGTCACAGGAGACAGTCATTTGTGAATGTGTTCCACTTCAACCACTTGAAGAAGACATACTTTAGCACATACTGACAGACACAAACAGAACGTCGTGCTTCAACATTTTTTTTATTTCCCCATATGTAACAAAATGAATTAGACTGAAAGGGGCTAACATATTTGATTCTAACATTATACCTAATGTTATACATGTTGTCATTATTTATGAACTAATCTAAGCTTTTTAATTCATCTATTAGAAGATGTCTCCGAAAGATACAGTAATATTAATGTCTTGTACATCAGTTTTATCAAACCAAAAAATCACCTTGATGACATATTTGGTATCTCTTGGATCCCCATTACTATTTAAAATGCTTCACAGCAAAATAAAACTCATCATTAGGACTCGAGTGGGGTATTATATCCATATGACATTATATCCTCATCCTGACTCTTGTGATTCAATTATTATCCCAATATAGATATTTGAAATAAATAAAGATATGACTCTCTCAACAGATTTCCCTGCCAATTCAAACCGTGTCACCACTTCATGACTCCTCATGGTGGCACGTATTACATTAATGATGGGACGGGGAATGGAACTTAATTTGTCATAGAAAACGCTGACAGAAGAAAAAAGGGAATAATGTCAGACTGCAGGGATTAGAAATTAAGAGAAGTATTATTTTATTCACTTAATTGCAGTGAATACATATATTAATACTGTACTCCACCATTTTAGGAACATTTTGTGTTCTTCAACTAATCCGATACTGCAGATGTATCATTATATGATTATCTTACAATTTATCAATTATCCCCTAATTCCTTTCTTGTAAAATTATTCATGTGTGCCACGTAGCCCTTATCTATCATACTGTTTTATACCTTTTCGTATAGTTTCGTATCATATCCGTGGTTACGCTGCCATTCCCTCCCTTAACTTGGCCAGTGGTTTTTAATTAGCTAAATTCAAATATGTTGCATCCTTTAACAGAGGAGGCATAATGTTGTATATTTGTAGAATTCCTTATTCTTCCTCTTTGAATGATAAATATCAAGTTTATTACTTTCTTAGTCTTCAGTATTCTGCAGGACTTTAATATACTAAGTTCCAAGAAAAAGTTAAGTTGACATTTTGTTCCAGTTTTGAACATTTCTCATCAAACTTGATTTAAAGGACTCCCTACCTGCAGGAAATACGAGCTAAGTGGATCCTCTTTGTTCAGTTCATCATAAAAAAATCCTCCTGCCACAAAGATCTGGTTCTCCTTGGTGGCCAGGCTGGCATGGTTCTTGGGGATCTGTGTGGAAAGCGATGCCACATAGCAGTCGTTGCCAGTCGGATCGTAGGCCACAGCGCCCGTGTCGTTCACCATCATGATCAGGTTCCTGACAAACATTCCGAACCTCAGGTTATCATTCAGGATGCCCGGGAGAAGACCTTCTTCCTCCTCATTTTCTTCATTTTCTCCATCTTTGTCTGCTTCAGCATCTTCTGTTTTGCTTTTACTTTTTTTAACCTCAGGAAATTTCCCTGCATGCGCATCCTTCACCAGTTGGACTTTTTGCTGCAGCTCTGAGTTTGAACAGATCATTTTGTTTCTCTCTACTTTCTCCTTCAGGAAATCCTCGCTGACCAAACGCAATCTAACACAATCCAGCAAACCTGGTAGCTCTTTCTCTCTGCTTTCAGTATCCCGGGCGACCCAGTTCATCAAGGCCTCATACACCAACTCCTCTGTCTCTACGTTCAGGTTGTCGTTCGTTAAAATGGCTGCGAGCTCACTTGGGAGCAACTGCAGGAAGTCCTCATCTCTGGAGATGAGCTGGAAGCGCTCACAGGCATAGTTTCGAGCAGATACAGCCAACCTGGGACAGTCCAGCATCAGGCCAAGTCTGAAGATAGCGAGACAGTTGCTTAGACTCAGGCGCTTTTGGAGGAAAGACACACACACAGTGAAAATTGAAGGGATATGGTACATGTTAGCCACTGCAAAGATGTCCTGGACGTTCTGCTCTGTCACATTGATTTTGGAGGTGTAAAGGTACTTTAGGATCAGCCCCATGACACCCGGCTCTACATCCTCCAAGATAATTTCTCGTTTTTTGCTCTCATCTAGATCAGACAGAAAGATGGCGCGGAAGTAGGAGCTGCAGGCGCACAGGACCAGCCGGTGGCAGGGGAACTCCTTGTCTTTGATCTTCAGCGTACAGTCGACCAGCTTGTCGTTCTCCAGCAGGTCGTACAGGCCGTCCTGAAGCAACGTCTGCTGGTACATTCTGGGTTCATCCATGGGATTAATGGGTAGAGCCATTGTTCCTGGATGGGAGGGTCTGAGGAGCCTTTCAGGGGCTTCAAATCAAACAACAGTTGATCTTCTTTGTAGCGGAGTAGCTGTAGTTACAAGCCTGGAAAGAGGATTCAGAAGCACAGTCAGTCCACACCAGCTGAACCCTGAGACGTCCCACTTCCTCAGCTGTCCTGACCCTTCAACTGAGCTCCAACTGGTGGGTTATTTATAGCCCGGGCGCTCACTGTGGAGCGATGGGCTTCATTCTAGAACATGAAACGTAATATCCACCCTTAAATCCCAACCCCACCCCTACCCATCCCCCAGGACTGTCCATCCACTCTCCAGGACTGTCCACCCACTCTCTAGCAGCTGACACATGGCTTCATGGGTAATATGTCTGCCCTGAGTCATGAGGCATCTAGAGTAGGTGATGTAGGAGGGTGCCCCCTAGGGGGTCTCTGTGACTGAGTCATTACAGTGGCAGTGTTACTCTTTCAGTTTGTTACTGCATTTACAATATACACATACCTTAATATGTAACACACATCAATCAGATAAAAATCAAATAAACTTTGTTGTGTTCTCCTCGGATGTCTTCAGGCTGAAGTTTCTGAACGATGAGTTGTTTACTTAACATATGAAGATGGTATTCTCTTCGAGATCCTTTACATTTTGATACAATGAAATTACATTTAAAAAAAAAAAGATCATTAAATGCTCCGAAAGAAAAGTTCAAGCCAAAAAAATGGTTCTTATGTCAAGATCAAAAACAACATACAAATACACTTTTACACAATTATTTTCTATGTGTTTGAGGTCACTGTGATCCTCAAACTGTTAAAAACATCAACGAGCCACAATAATGATTAGTGACATGTTTCTACAACTTTATTTAACATTCTGCTACTACAAACACCCACCAGCCAACCAATCATGTATCAATACACTACCTGAAATATTCCCCAGCAAAGTCACATTTTCTATAGCTGTGCTTTTGTTGTGTATGCTAAAAACTGCAGAGCCAGGCTTCTCTGGGGAATTTTCTTATTCTCTTATTTACATAAAATGAGATATAGAAATATTATGTCTTATTTGAAAGGCTTTATCTGTTTTAATACCAGTTTGATGAATCCAGGAAAATTATACACAGATCAGTTCTTGTTGAATGCTTACCCTCATTAACATCATTATATGAGACGGTTGTATATTTCATTTATTTAGAAGAAGAAGAAGAAGAAGAAGCCATGCTTTATTCATCCCTGACAGGATGCAAGCATACATGGGCAAGGCACATAAAAATACACACAAACAAACACAATCCTAGGACACCTCGGCAGGGCTCCGAAGGGAGCTGACATCTCTCCAGCAACCAGACAAATTTCCATACTTTGGATTGTACCTGGACTTAAACCTGCGACACACACAGGTTCCAATGGACTGAGCTCCGGCCGCCCCCCAGTCCAGTTTAAAACAAGAATTCAGTTTAAATAAATGGACTCCAGTTGACTGTTGAGTATCAAGAGGCAGACTTGCACATTTTGATATTTTTTTTGATCGTTTTATTTTAGACAATAAAAAAAAACGATTGCCATATTGATCTAGATCAGGGGCCATATTCACGAATACTCCTAAGTACGAAGAGTTGCTCCTAGTGACAAAATTCTACAACCATTCTTAGAATCAGGATATTTTCTAAGAAATTCCCCTCAAAGTTAGAACTAGATCCTTGTTAAGATGAAAGTTATTCACAAAGTGTCTTAGCCCTTAAGAGAGCTCCTAAGGTGTAAAACTGTTGGAGTTCCTCAAGCTGAGGAGAAAATGAAGAAAAGTTCTGCAAACACTGAAGAATATTTTTGATTCATATTTGGGCAGAACAGACAAAAATTATTTGTGCAGACATTTCAAGCCATCTATGACTTCATTCAGCACAAAGTGAGACATGGGTTACCTCCACAGGTGCATCCAATCACTAATTAAGACTCTTTACCTGCTGATGTAATTATCCGCATGTGAAGGAGCTGCGGCACACGTGGGCATGTGATTTCAAACATTTTGTAGGCTATATATTTTTAAGAACGTCTTCCAATTTTTCACACAGATTCTAATGTCATAGTGTTCATAATTACACAATGTCTGACTAGATTCTATGTTTGACTTTTTTATCTAAATTTTTTTTTCAGCTTCTGAAAAATGTGTCATACCTAACGGGGTCAACCTGACTAAAATAAAAGTTTCTGTCCATTTCTTGCTCAGAGTTGCTCTGAGAATGTTCCTAAATCACTCCTCGACTGAAAACCCTTGCTAGGATTTTTTAAAGCTAAATAAGGAGCTCTCTGAATGTTTGTGACTACGGGCCCAGGTCTTTAAATATCATTTGTGAGCACAGGAGGAGGGGGAAGGGGGAAAAAAAAACAGTAGAAAAGTGGAACATAAAAGATGACATTGTCGCATTATAGTCCAAATAAATGTAACATACAGTAGTCATACTGTTAGGATACGTTATGGATCGATTCCCAAGGAAACTAGGTCACAGGTTTTCTTGCTCATTAGGAGCTATTGTCTTCACCTGTGATGTTCTCCCTCACCTGACGGCTGATGACAATCAGCTGGGCTGGGAGGTTATATAGGGGAGTGGAGGTCTCTTTGCTCCGTTGGCTGTGTGTGTCAGGAGAGTCAACACCATCAGTTGGCTTTCTGTGTTTTTGTTTTGAATGGAGATCCCAGATGTGTGTGGGTTCTGAAAATGTATTTTTATTTTTAGCCATCTTGTGACTCCTTCCATTACCCATTCCTTCTTTGACTTCCTCTTAACTTTTGTTTTGTTTTGGTGCAGTGTTTAGTTAGTTCCCCAACTCGCAACCTCTGTCATTCAGATTTAGTTACTGGGGGGAATGTAACTGATTAAAAAATTGGGTAAAATACAATTCTTAGTTTCTATTACTGAATCAGAAGTCTTGTCGGGTCTATGTAGTGTTGCACATGTGACCTCAGGTGTTGGGCTTGACATTCTTAAAACTGCTCCCACTTTGTTGGCCTCATAGAAGTCTTAAGCCGCAAACTGCTGATGTAATGCTGCAGAAATACCTCCCAGCTGTGATGACAAGCCTCAGCAGTGACTCATCTACTTTAAATATCCAGCACAGCCAGTCATTTATATCTGAAATTCTCTATAATCATTCTAATAAAGAACACATTTTCCGTTTAATTTTTGCTTTATTGAAATGTTTTCCAAAACCTGTAGTTAGTTTTTCTTCTCTAAAAGGTTTGACAGAGTAAATGATACTTTAACTCATTTCCAGTGACTGCTGAACAGAATACAGTTGTAATATACATAAATATACTGTTATTGTTAAGCAAAAGTGGGATTTAGTTCGATTTCTCCACTTTAGGTATAAACGCAGTAAAATGATGTTAAAGGTATTTACAGTTTATGCTGTTTTTATACTTCAGCGTTTCATATTTCATGTTATAAAATCTGGACTGGAGATAACGCTGCTGGCCGTTAACGTCCTTCATTATAAGCATGGAGAAGTGAACGTTAAGTCTCTACTCGGCCTTTTCCTTGCTGGGATCTGCTGCTGGCTGAGCGGCAGAGGGGGTTGCAGTCGTAGCTGCAGCGCTCGTGGCGGCCGTTGGAGGAAGAGGATCAGGGTCATCGATAAGGGCCTGTCTCCTCTCTCTCTCCTTGATCACTTGAATCAGGCAGTAGGTCACAAACATGGCGATGATGGTGGTAAAAGGAAAGCCTGGAAAAAACGAAAAAAAAAATGTTAATAAAGCTTGAAGAATAAATATCCTCTTCAAAATAAGAGCAACAAAGTCACCTTTGAGAAGCAGACGTTTGGCGACCAACTTGGCAAAGTCCAAATTGTTCAATGCCAGGATGTTGTAGAGAACAATGCACCAGAAGTTGAAGGTATTAAAAATGGCTCTGATACGTCTGGACATTGCTTCCGACATCGCCATCTGGAAAATAAACATTTTTTAACATGAAAAAAGAGCATTTTATAAACCAATTATCTCTACTCTTAAACTGAAATGTAACCCAGTGCCAACCTCAAAAGAAGCAAAGGGCTCCATGGAGAAGACCTTGGCAGCCCACAGCTCAAAGTTGAGGCCGAAACAGTTGAAGAAAGCCCAGATGAGCACCACCTTGCAGGGTCCCAGCCACACGATGGTGACTCCGAAGGTGCACAGTGTCGCAATCAGCTCCTCCACCACATTCTCATGTTTTCCACCCAGGTAATCGTACACATACCTGCAGAAAACAACACTGCATTCAGCATTTCAATTTGACTAAATCGAGAAAAAAAAAACATTTTCTTGTAATTCTGAGATGCTGACTTGCACAACCACTCGTTGATCCCTCTGTCAAAATGACTGCAAAGGAGAAAGAAACAGAGGTTTAGTGTGAAATATTTGGAATCATTTTGCCAAATTTTGTCAAGTTGTGAAAACACAACTCACGTCTCGGCAAACACGTAGAGCAGAGTGATGCATTTTGGTGGCTTTGGAGGGTCCAGATGATCCAATCTGGATATGGTGTTAATGACTCCAAACATGACGGCTGCTTTCACCCAGTCATACACCAGGTTAAAGTAAGCCAGGCCCACTAGAAACAAAGCAGTCCCGTCAGTCATTAAGGAGCAATACGCAGAAGGTAGAATATTATGTGAAACAATAAATGTGGGTAGTTTTATGGAGGGGGCACAGACCCAGAGCCCAGTCGGAGACGTGCTTCAGAAGCTTCATGTCAGAGGGGATGGTGAGGATGTACATGAAGTGGAAGAGGACGTCCACTACAAGGATGACTCCCAGATAAATCAAGCACTGAAGATTGATGTTCCACATCTCCCGCTCTTTCCTGGTCAGGTCAGACTTGTTGGCCTGCAGGGGGCAGCAGACGCCAAGTCACAAAATCAAAAACCTCTGCCGTGCTTTGATACATTTCAGGAAGAAAACTTTGACTGTGAATGAGGATGCAGTGTTTATGTGATCATGATGGATGATGTAGGCCGACTGAGTCTATCTTGTACATGAAAATTGACAGATACAAGTATTTTGATACTCTTTCATTTTGATCTATTGTTGTCATTATGGCTTGTTCTTGCAAATGATGAAAATGATATCCATCCATTCAGTTGTTCATTTAATTTGTCTTTTTTTTCTCTTTTTATTACTGGTTGGATTAACCCCTTCAGGCCACACTGTACTGAAATCAATCGGGGAAATTCTCTGGTTGCCCTGGTATTAAACCAAAGTCATATGCAAAACACTTTGATCATGACACTCAAACAGGTGCTTTGTTTTTAAGGACTTTGACTCACTGCTCATGACTGCCCAGGGCGATAAAATCACAACACTGGCTGAGCTGGGGGATCCAATCTTCATTACACTTACTTGAACATAAAACTTGTCGAAGGTCATGATGGGTCCAAAATAGAAGAAGGGGAGGTAGAAGTTGTACTTGAGCAGCTCCAGGATGTTGTAGTTTCCATCTTTCCTCTCGCAGTTCTCCAGAGCAAAGCTCATACAGCGCATTATGGTGAAGCCACACCCTCCATAGTAGAGAACATGACGCAGCTCGAAGTCCCCATCCACAAAACCCGCCTACATGGAGAGGAATTGGTCAAATAAAACACAAGCGAATTTGGACATTTGACAACAAATATCTGTGTTTTGTAGCTTCTTATTTTTTCTAGTGGCATACCTGCCAGGACACGAAGGGTTCACACTTGAACGTAGCGAGTGTGCAAAGACCTGTTACGAAGCAAAGCCAGCGTATTTTCACTAAGGAGATGCTGTAGAGCAGGATACAGTGAGACAGCATGAGGGTAACGTAGGTCCAGCCCATACTGGTCCACACAGCCAGCAGCCCGTACACCATGTACACCAACGACCTGTACTGTGGGAGAGAAAGTGAGTGTAACCACATGATGCAACCGAAAGATACAACAGAGTCAAGCTCGTGACTGCACTGTAGGGGTAATAATGGATTTGAAGTGTCTAAAAATGTCAATTCTGGTTGGCGTTTTTTGTTTTGGATTTTGAAAATTTCAAAAAAAAATCAGAGAATCGAAAAAGACCAAGTACTTTGAGTTTTCTGTTGTATCACTACACTGATTTACACAAGTCTGTACTGTACATTTCCTCCATTTGTATTTTTAAAATATATTTCTGGGACATTTCAAGCCCTTATTGGCGGAACATAAGAGATGGATGGGGAATATTTGGGAGAGAGTGGTGGAAGACATGCAGTAGATATCGAGGGTCAGACTCAAACCCAGGAGGGCTGTGAGGACTGTAGATTCTGATTCATCGCTGAGTTCTAACTGGAGTCCCACATTTCCTCATACATAAATACTCAGTTGAAACTGAGTTGTAAAACAACTTTGCATTTAACACTATACGTCACATCCCTCCCTTTCACACCACATTCACACACTGTTTGCAGACACTGCTACATTAAGTACCCAACTGCCCATTACTCCATTCACACACATTCACACAGCGCCTGCATGGCAGCGTGAACAATTTTGGCGTTCAGTGTCTTGCCCAAGGATACCACGACATGTGGCAATAGTTAGGGATCGAACCACAAGACTTCTGATTGAAAGTGGACCAACCCTCCCACTGAGGGAGGGTTAATAGAATTAAATATTTGTTTACTCATTGCTTTATTAATATAATTTTATAGGCCTACAATATAAGCTAATGGAATGATATTGATGGTCGATGTGCAGCTGATTAAAGTGATATATTTTGTAAGATAGTTTTAATGTTCATAGATTTCAGCTTTATCTGTAATTGGCTAGTTTTAAAAATACATACACCACCTTTAAAGTTTCCAATCGTGCTTTGATGAGGATGAATCAACCATAAAATAATTATCTAGATATAATTATGTGACACTTTGTATGGGGACATTTTTCATGATAAGAAATTGAAATCATACTCATCCTGAATAAAGGAATTTGACTTGAAACCAAGTATTTATTCTAACAACTAAAGATCTGAGTACCATTGTGTGGTAATTTTTTGAAAGATCCTCAACAGAATTAATGTCAGTCTTTAGTTTCACAGGTTCTTAAAACACGTCTCGACAATGCGGCATAATAACTTCTGATAATCAAATAATCACAGTTTTACTCTCCTCAACATTTCTACTTATGTGGCTCTCTATCATGATAATTCTTATTGCCTTCTAACCTCACTAAAAGAGCTTTAGCAAACAATTCACATGAAGTGCGAAACATTCTCAGGTCAACAGTTTGGAACAGAGCATGAAACTCTGCTGACACTTGACATGTGGTTCACTGGTGTTAACCAGATTAACTGGCACAAGTGATTGTGCTCTGTGGAGCTTTGTTTTCATTTGTTGTCTCTTTTATTCTTCTTCTTTTAGCCGTCTGACTCTCCCTCTGTCTTCGTCCCTCCACCTGGTCCCATTCATCATCTAATGTTTGTCTAACGATATAAAAAGCTGCTGTGCAATGTTGTAAAAATAAATAGTGACAAAGAGGATTTAAAATGTCACCCCGACATAGAGAGAATTCAAACTGTATTGTATCTTTCCCCCCCCATTCAAAAGAGGTCGAGTGATTTGCTCTGATCATGAAACCGGAGTGTTACTACACTCCTGCTGCGTTGGTTAATCGATTCATCCATCAGACAATCACCTGCGGAGCCAGCATTGAGCAGATCTTAGCGAAGAGCACGTGACCCGAGAGAGCAAACAGGATGTGATCTCTGTAGGTGGAGAACCACATCATCCACTCTGAATCAGCCGTATCCTGCAAAAAACAGAACCAGAAGAATAGAAAATTAGAAAAGGTTTAACGGCAGTAACAAAATGTCTTCAACTATACACTTTTCCTCACCATCTTCCTCCCAAAGTAGTACCATCCTGGCTTCACGCTGGTTTTAAACGTCTTTCTGTTGGCGCTGGCTGAGAGCAGGACAAAGAAAAATACAAAGACATGTTCAAATCTTCAGTAAAACGTTCTTGTCCCTGAAGGCAGATGTGAAACGTTTGTTTTAACTTACAGTATGCAGGGCCAACTGAGGACCTATTTTCTTCCTCTGCTCTGTGATATTAATACTGACACCTGATCTGATCTGCGTGGTCTGCATAGCTCTAACTCCTCACCCTCACACAGTCACACTGCACCTATATGTGAACTGCACATTGTGTTGTGTGTATGTGACCAAAACCCCACACTGGTTCACATTAAGGCCTCTTTTTTAATTTTTATAGATACTGCATTGAGCTCTGTAGAAATAAAACATTACCTGGAGGGTTTTGTGTTTGCATGCCTGTGTCTGGAAGATAACTTCTTCTATCTGAGCAGCATATGTATGCATGTATGTGCAGCTTGTAAAAAAAAAATGTGCATGATATTGTCATTTACTGTCATTGTTATCTTAAAGAAGCTTGAATCTGGCGTTTGAGAAAATAAATTTGCCTCCACTGTGGGATTGGTCATCTTCTACGATTGGTCATGGGAAGAATTCACTTCATAATGAAAAAATAATACATTTGCATGGAAGATAAATGTGTTCAGATAAACATATATGTATGTACAGTATATCAGCATGTGATGCTTATAAATAGAAAAAACAAATGCAAATTAGATAATTGTCTTGCAATATATCAATCATCCCAGAATCGCTGTGTCATGATATTATTGTTACTGTGGGCCATATATTACTTTTTTTTGATAGTTATCCTGCTTTTTCCACCCTTATTCAAGAAACAACCAATCATCATGTTTAATATTCACCATCATGTAAAGTTTAAATCCTGTAATTTTCACATCCACAAAAAAAATTTGACATGTGATGTAAGGAAAAGGATCAAAGAAATCAGTTATCATCTAAAGAGCACATATTTTACATGTTTGTTGGTATACGGATTAGATTGAGTTTTAGATTAGAGAACTTTATTAATCCCCAGAGGCTGCAACCTGGTTAATTCATTCACACAACAATCAATATCGACAGAACAATCACCATACACAAGTGAATTAATAACAAACACCATTGAAACATCATTTACAGCCATGAATCAGAGCCACAACGAACAATGTTCATTAAAATCTCTGACTGCTGCTGGAAAAAAGGACCTTGTAAGTGGTTCAGTAGAACACTATAAGGCATCACTAGTCGCTCACTGAAGGAGCCTCAGAGTCCATTAAAACACTGTGCAAAGGGTGGCCTTCAACAGATTGTGACTCCACCAGAATCAACCTGAGCCACATTGTGTGTTGACTGATGCCAATGAGAGCTTAAAAAATACATGTTTAATATGATTTAAAAAACACAAAACATGATTGCACATATAACTTTGTTGTGTTTGCCCTCTTCGTTGGGTTTATAGACAATAAGAAAATCAAAGACTAATAAATCAGATTAAGAAGTTTTCAGCAAATTTGATCAAGCACTTTCAAGTGTTTTAATGTGAGACTCAAAAAATAGCAAATAATTAAATTAACCTCAAAAGAATGGCAGTGTAGTATTCTTTCCATCTGTGTTTCAGTATAACAAAAATAGGGTGTGTGCTTTCTCATACTTACAACTGGACACCTCAAAGATCCAGCTAGCAGCCCAGAACATGGCCAGACCCAGCACGGTGTTGTAGAAGTAGACCTCATACCTGGGAAGAGCAGCTTTGATCCCCATGGTCACTGAGACAGGAAGAGCTGTGCAAGCTCCTAGAAACACAGACAACTTCACGTTGTATTTGAACAACTCAAAAAACAGGTTTAACTTGTGGAGTGACACCAATGATGTGACAGCACTCCAGGGCGTCCTAATCTCTCCAAAATTGTGATGGTTCACACAGTGGTCAATCTGTTCATTACCGCGATCATATCTCTCATTCTGACCTTATCAACACACTGTGCGGTACTCGGGCAGCAGCTGGAAGCATAAAACTAAAGGAGAAAGTGCTACCATTCCTTTTCAATGTTTGTATGAGAAACATTTATTTCCCGACTAACTAAAAATAGACAATTGTGCTTGTCAATCAATCTTTATTTAGATCTCTATCATGTTTCAAGTCACATACCTTCACTGACACATTATTATTAGAAATGGAAGTAGCAAAGAACAAATACTTCTATTTAGGACTTTGAACCCAAGTTTTTCATTTCTAGGAAAAAAACTGTATCCTTTCTCCATCATATTTCCGAGAGAGATTGTGCATAAAAACAACATTCTAAATATTAATCTGCATATTTCACATTAGGAAAGAACGCAAATGGTGAAAGAGGAAGTATCAATAATACTCTGTAAAAATGTATCCCTTTCAAAGTAAATATTCTTCTACTTATAATTGTACTGAAGAAACAGGCTAGTTTACACAGTAAAACGTCAAAGGAAAAGTATTGATATGTTTTATGACCCCTGTCATATTATAGTCCCAGTTTATTGATGCATTATCATCTAGGGATACTTTTGCATAGAAGTAAGCTAAAGCGCTTAAAGAACAGTTGAGTGTTTGACAGTACATACTTTATAAAGTCAACTTACATCCCAGCACTGCCCTGTACTACCTCGACCATGTCCAACACTATTGTAAAACTCCTCATTCACACAAACCTTTATTGTCTCAACAATGTATTTAACATCGTCTTACCAAAGAACAAATGAATGCCAAACCTTATCTTAGGTATATGCTTTACTTGAAAGAAAGTAGGCTAGTGTCTAAATATGTAAATATTCGGTTACTGCTGCATTCAAAATGGTACTTAATAGAATTAAATATTCGTTTACTCATTGCTTTATCAATATAATTGTATAGGCCTACAATATAAGCTAAGGGAATGATATAGATGGTCAGCTGATTAAATTGATGTATTTTGTACGATAGTTTTCATGTTTCATCGGCTCTTCATAGATTTCAGCTTTATCTGTAAATTATAAGCCTATCTGTCAAATAAAGAGGTATAAGTGTGATATTTTAACTATGTCGGCCTAGTGCAGTAGACTAAAACTACAATGGTAAAAGTGAAGTGAAGTGAAGTTTATCACAACTGTAGCCTACTTAAGAGCATAAAAGCAATAAATGCACCTGAGCTTTGAACGCTTCTACTTTAGTACACACTATATTTAGGCACCTTTTCATTCACCCATTGAATTATGCTAAATGTCGATCCCAGTGACATAAAACGCGGCTTACTTTTCTAACATCAAAGCCTTTTTAAAGTAGGCTACTAATCATCACGTGTCCCTTTAAAATGATTGGTTGTTAAGCCTTTGAAGTAAGCATCATTGATTTACCGTTATCTGCTTGACTTTGTTGTGATTATCGAGTAAAGGGACAACGAAAATGAGCACATTTTCCACACTGATAAGAGGAAAAGACATTAACACAGTACAGCTGCGTGCTATTTATAACCTCACAACTTCTCTCCTTGTCTCATTCATTAGTTCTCATCCATTATAACAGCCTGTTTAACCTTTTAAAGCTGATTGAAAAAAAAAAACACATTCAAATCGGTGTTTGAGGTCTAAAAGTAATGATGTAAGGGCTATTTATCTAGCTGTCTTTAAATGTTTGCCTGTTTTCTCGACAGTGTCCCGGGTGAGATGCCTGTTGTTAAAATGCCACTCCGCTCGTGCACTTCAGCGTGTCCTCTGCACCACCTGTTGTGATACTGACCTTGAATGCAGCAATTGAAGCTCCAAGAAAATCCCGATGAAATGCCACTTTTTTTTTTTTCTTTGTTCAAACGGATATTTGAAAACGTGAAATTACATTTAGATAAATGTCAAAACTTTATCATCTGCTGGGCGTGTACAGCAGGGTGGGCTGTGGGTCCCTCTGACTCCCTGTCAGGGAGCTGCCACCGGTTAAAAGGTGACATGATGTATTTATACTTTGACCACTGAGACACAGTGGGCGGAACAAGAGAGCTGTAAAGTCTTTGTAACACACTGTAAGACATCCAATACAGGGGTATTATCTTTACTTTTTAATTATATCAGCCACCACCCTGAGATGCAAAAAAGATACCTAAACACACTTACTGCGGATGTAAAGTAGGTAATACATCTGCAAAATATCTTTATTTGGGCTAATTGCAGTCAATGTATGCATGAATGACCCCTTAAAAAGAATGTACATTTCATTGTCCTTACAGGATTTGTCCTTGCTTTTGTATTTCTTTTTAACATCTTGTTAAAAAAAAAAGAAAGAGACCTCTGAACTCTTTTCTCTTGTTGCTATTTTCCATATTCATAGTTGCCAGATCTGTTTTGGGAGGGTCAAAGCCTGTTGTTATTTTGAGCTGTAGCCAACAAACATCCATGGCTCTCTCTCTCTCTCTCTCTCTCTCTCTCTCTCTCTCTCTCACACACACATTCTACAATAAGCTGTGAAACAACATGCAGTGCCGTCTAGTGACAGCAACACAAAATACAATGTCGTGAAAGCTCCAACTAATTTGCCCTATTTTGATGTCCACGCCCATGGGCAGGACTCCATGATTGTGTTAAATAACACCTGAACCTGCACCTGAGCAAGAGCCCGGTCGATGTGAACGCACATAGCAAATAAATAAGTACATATTTGGGAGCCATAGTGTTGCAAGTCGTTGTTTGAATCATAACTAGTATTTTTTTGACTCTTTCATGAAATGCAACATGGTCATACAGCCGAGAAATTGTCAGAGGTTTATCGCTGTAAAAAGAACTGAATCGTATTTTTTGCAAAGAATATCCAATGCACAATGTATGAGTATTGTCTATGAAACTCAAGTCCATTCATGGCTGTTTGTTTCTCCTGCTGTTACACCAACAGTGCTTCACATCCATAGGGAGCTAACAGTTGCTCAGGTGACAGTATTACTGCCTGAGGGTGGAGGCCACAGAAGACTGTGTTAGCCTCATTAGCATGTTTGTGACTGTTTGAGTTTTCCTACAGTCTAAGTGAAATCTCAATCATACCATCATAAACAACTTGCAATGAAAGAAACCGCTTTATTTCTGTATGTAAAAATGTATTACAATCACAATACTTAATAACTTTATATTGTAAAAAACGACTATTTTGGAATGGAAAATCTTCATTGGAAACACGGTCCGTGTGCAGAGAGTAGATGAGCCGTAGTTCCTTCACTCTTTCTTGCTGCTCTCCTGTCCTTCAAAGATGGGGTATTTCTTCTCCACCTCAGGCCACGTCAGAATCCCGTTAGCCAGATCTCGAACGACCCCTGGCAGCTCAAGGACCTGAAAAATATTTTTATATATTTAGAACAAAAAAAAAAATCAACAAACACAAAACGGTCCGAGCCTTAGATTCTGAGCTGCAGTAATTTGGCTCTTTCTACCTCGACCCTGATCTGCCTCATGGAGTCTCGGTCTCTCAGCGTGGCTGTTTGAGGCGTCTTCTTCACGGTGTCGAAGTCGATGGTGATTCCAAACGCCACCCCGATCTCATCTGACCTGGCGTAGCGCCTCCCGATGGATCCTGAAGAGTCGTCCACTTTGTGGGACACGCCGTTTTTAGTCATTGCTTCAGCTGGAAGAAGAAGAAAAGACAATAAATGAGGAACCACATTACAAAATCATCTTTAGGAACATGACATAGACTTGCCTAAGCTTTAGCATTTGGAAAATATGGTTTATATTCTTCTTGCCACCATGCTAGTTAACCAGCTAGCTTACTTTTACATGACAACAACTGTAGTAGTAAACCCTCCTATTAAAGAAATAGTCCAGCAAATAACGCACCAATAACAGAGCTGTTTTAGAATTGCACTTCTCATTTACACAGATTAAGAAATAATATAAAAAATGTTAAAAAGAGGTTTTGGTAATTTTGCATGATAACCAAGCTAGCATTTTTAACACTGTTTCCAGTCTTCATGCTAAGCTTCATAGTTAACAGTCAGAGATAGGAGTGGTTTAATTATAATACCAATAAGTAATAAAACGTTTCCCAGAATCTACTTTAATGAAAATATAACTGAATTATATTTAAGTATTCAAGCTAGCTTCAGACTCACACAACTGCTGGACAAATGGCACAAACTCCTGGTTTTGGCTCAGAGGAAGGATGGAGCATTTGTATGGAGCCACAGTGGGAGGGAAGCTGAAATACTGGATAAGAAAACAAACAAAGGAAAATTCAAACACATCGAACAAGCATATGATTCTCTCTCTGTTCTCTCTCTTTTTTTTTTTTACAGCCTTCTCACCGTCCTCTGTTCATCCCCTTGCCGGATGAGGAACGAGTGCTCGAAGATAGAGTACATGATCCTGCCGATGCCAAAGGACGGCTCGATTACATTGGGAACAATCTCCTCCACTGTGGGAAAAACGAGAGGGTTATTTTCCCACATTAAAAAGTCACAGTGTAAGCTAGCAGGCAGGTCTGGTGTCAGCTCTTACCATGCAGAGTTTTCTGGAACCTCTTCACACTGACCATGTCTTTGGTCAGTTTAAATGTCCTGCCCTCTGTCTCAATGCTGAACTCCCTACAGACAGAAACACAACAAAATCACAGGTTTTACTTGGAATATGAATACACAAAAAAAACGTAGTGAAAATACAGAGTGGTTTTTCGCTCAGTGGTGATCACTGCAGTGTTCAATCACCCTTTTTCATTGAGAAGCTTCTCCTGATCGGTGACGTAGCATTCGTCACAGACGGCCAGGTAATCCAGAAGAAGCTTTGCATCCTTTTTGTAGGTTGTTCCGATGGGTCCTCTTTTGGGATCAAACTGGACGACATTCACAACTTTGTGTGGAAAAGTTAAGGAGTAAAACAGGAATCTAGTTTGCCAGAGTGTCAAATGGTGACTTTCCAGTTGAGTGAACATCTTGTCTTCATTCTATATCTTTTCCACAACTGTAGGATAATTGTATTTGAGGGATCAACAAAGTAAATGTGTGTGTATACCAATCTTAAAGATATTGGCCTATATATATCAGTATCTGATTTTTTTTCCATCCCTAATATCAGTAACTGTATCTGCCCCCAAAAAACCCATATTGTCCGGGTCCTAGTATCTTCATATGAATCAATAATTGCAAAATTGCTGTATCATGATTTTATCGGTATAATGGGCCACATGGTTTATTATATCAGACGGTGATTAACTCTCTGATTCACACGCCTATTAAGCAACAGGACAGCTGTTGTCTTCATTCAAACTGTTAAAAAAAAATATATATCGACACAAAAAGCAAGCAACAAATGATTCAAATGATGCATTGCCTAAAGATTTCCCCTCCAGCATATTGGACGACAACACAAATATATTTAATAATAATCAAAAAGACATTTTAAACTGGAAACAAGATTTTTCCTTTACTACTCAGAAAGTCTCTTTCACAAGTGTGAGTGACCAGGAGGGTTCAAAGATCAAGACCCACTTTAGAAAGTTGCATATTCAAACCAAGAACAATTCCCTACATTGTTTTGTTTTCCCAAATTTCAGATTGAATGTGAGTACAGAGAGACAGAGAAACTTGCTCTCTTTAACAGATGAAGGTGAATTCTGTACAGCTGAGGTCAAACATTCGGGAGTTGTGACGAAAAGCAGAACACATTTCTGAGTGAAGGGAGACTTTTAAGATTTTAAACAGCTAACTCTCCCTACTCCTGGTGGAAATTTCCCAATAGTAGACAAAGCAGTGGACAAACTTGTTGTTTTTTTTGTGTCCATGAATGACATAACCAGAAATGACATATTCTAGCATGCATGTTTTCATTGCAGTGAAAGCCCCGCTACCTGCTCAAAAGGATATGGGTTCTTTCAGGGCTTTTTCAGCCACTAGAGGGACCCTGGTGGCTCTGGAGTGACAAGACAGGTCATAGCAGGCGCGATCAGCACAGCCCACAATCTCTATCCAGCCCTGAGGGAGAGAAACCAACTTGTCCTGACTCCTCTTTCAACTTTGAATCATCTCAGTCTGTATTTGTGAATAAAGGAGAAAAAAGGCTTACATAGGAGGTTTTGGACTCGGCATCCCAACAGTCACATGCGTAGTGAGCCATCTCATTCTCCATGTGCTGACGGAAACGCACTTTATCTTTGGACAGGCCCACTTTGGTGAGGTAGAGGTAGATTCTTCCAATGAAGTAACCCAGCACTGAATTGTTTATCACTCCCTGTAGCAAAAGAAAGACATTCCAAGATATATTCATGATGAAGGTTCAAGAAATACATCAGTAAGGATCACTTTTGTAATATTTAGTCATGTAAAAATTCCCTTAAAGGTATTATATGCAACAGTTTAAACACTATTATTACAAATATCAAATATAAACTACATATAGATGACTACTGACTTCTTCTAAAAAGAGTGAAGTCAAAGTCCCTCTGGGCTTTTTGTTCTCAGCTCTGTGTTTATGCTGACGGGACGGCGGTTCCTTCAGTTTGTTTATGTTTCTCTCGGAGGCTCAAACATGTTTTATTTACGTTTACCCAACCCTGTCCAACCGTTAGCCCTAACACCACGAGGGAAAAGAGAGATGGCCCCGCCCACTCAGGGATGCTGTCCGTAGGGTCTAAATTTGTGGGGTTTCATCACAAAGGTACAATTCAAGAAAAACCAACGGACAGTCCAAACCAGAGAAAATAATTTGTTTTGTTATGAAATACTTCAAAGATATAAGAACCGAATTGAGCTGTATATCTGAGTGGAGGTCAGTGGTAGAAACAGCTGCACATGGTCGTAACACCGAGGGAAGGGTGAGGGAATAGGGGAAGCGGTGCACTGAGGGACAGCTTTGTTTTTTGGACATCTGCTGGACATCTACTCTTAAAGTTATTTTCTATTCTTTAAAAGTAATATAGGACGTTATTACAATGAATGATCCTGAAAAAAAAATAAA